TCCAGAGACTGATTTATACATTTTTTTCATCATGCACAACCATTTAAATCCATAATTTTTTAGAATCAGGCAACTGTATTCGGCAAGAGACTTTAATAGTCATTCATGAAGTAGTATAACTAAATTCCAATAAGAATTAAAAGCAGTCTCCTTAGTCATGAAGAAACTGCAAATTAAAACCACAGTGTGACTCCTACCCACCAGAATGGTTAACACTACCTGTTGGAGATGTGGAGCTCCCAGGTTCGATTCCGGTCAAGGGCATGTACCTGGGTTGCGGGCACATCCCCAGTAGGAGATGTGCAGGAGGCAGCTGATCGATGTTTCTCTCTCATCGATGTTTCTAACTCTCTATCTCTCTCCCTTCCTCTCTGTAAAAAAATCAATAAAATATATTAAAAAAAAAAATACAAAAAACCACAGTGTGACTCCTACCCACCAGAATGGTTAACACTACCTGTTGGAGATGTGGAGCAGGCAGAACCCATATACATATACATATACACATACATATATACATATACACATATACATATACATATACACATATATACATACACACACATATATTTATATATATATATATATATATTAATATTTTTATTGATTTCAGAGAGAAAGGGAGAGGGAGTCAGATTGGCTGCCTCCTGCATGCCCCACATTGGTAATCTAGCCCGCAACCTGGTTCATGGATCAATGCTCAACCACTGAGCGGCCGTGGCTGGTCTATTGTCTGTTATCTTTTTTTTTTCTGTTTTAATCTGAAATAATTTTGTTGGTATTTGAATTGCATTCAGTGGGACATTTCCTTGAAACCACAAAATTCTCCGTCTGGATTATCATAGTACAAAAGCCCTTCTCTCCTCCTGTCCCCCCCTATGTCTGTTTAATAAAGTTTGCTAAAAAGAATCATTTGTAGCCCACAATTCCCCATTTGACCAGTGTCTAAAGCAGTGGTTCTCAACCTTCTGGCCCTTTAAATACAGTTTCTCATGTTGTGACCCAACCATAAAATTATTTTTGTTGCTACTTTATAACTGTAATGTTGCTACTGTGATGAATCGTAATGTAAATATCTGATATGCAGGATGGTCTTAGGCGACGCCTGTGAAAGGGTCATTCGACCGCCAAAGGGGTCGCGACTCACAGGTTGAGAATCGCCAGTCTAAAGAGTAGTGGAGGGTATAAATATGTACTCTTATCCTAATTCTGTAATTATAAAGCCTTGTTGTTTTTGTCCTTGATTTTTTAATGAATTTTTTATTTGGTAGGCATATATGTTTGAAAAGTCATCAGGGTTTCAGAAACAAGTTTGGTTCTGAGGGCTAGATGACCTTCATTTGCTTTTAGAATCCTCTAAAAGCACTTGGAAAGCTCTCCCACAACTTTTATAGCCTTTTCTCTGTATGTATTATTGTCTCGGCTGTTATAATTTCCTTTTGCCTTTGATTGAATTGTGAGATTCTAAACTTGTACTTTCCCCCCATCTTTTATGGTTTGGTATGTAATTTGCATATTTTCACCATGCGAAAGCTATTTTCTATGGTTGGAAAAGATTTTTTTCCCCTACAGTGTGAACAAATCATTCTTTGTTCTCCTTATTGTGCCTCCAAACTGGTACGTCCGGTTTATGCTCCAAACAACAAAAGTCTGTCATCAGAAATTAAAATGCCAGTAAGAACAAAGGCAGAGACCCATGAGGAGCTGTTGGAGAGGTTTCCTCCTTTCCTCCTTTCCCCAAGTAACCGCAGTTGCCAGGAAGGTGGTACACTCCTTCCTTGTAGTTCTACCCTTGGATTTATTTATTATTGTTGGTTTAAAAGTGAATTTACAGCTCCTGGTAATTTTATTCAGGATCTATAAAACCCTCATCTTGGAGATTCTTTGCCATTTTCAATGAGCTCTCTTTAAGAAACCTAAAAATCATTTTGAAAGCCTTTAATAAATGTAATCAGTTTTGACACTTATTTATTTGAGAGCAAAATTACCAGTGAACATACTGTATAAAACATTAGAGGCAATTGAAGACGGCAGCTAAAGCAGTGCCTGTAAGGACATATCCATCCGTCCTTTCTAAAATGTGCCCATCTTATCTGTTTGTTAGCTTTGTTAGCGCTGTCTCTGTTCTGAAATAGTCCGATACAGAATTTGCGCATACTGAAGAGTTAGTTCTCTGGGAAGTTTGACATTTGTGACTCCCTTAGGAAACTTTAGCATTATGCTTGTAACAATCTTGACTTTAACGTATTCACAAATACCTATAAATAGGGACAATGTTTCTTCCCCTGTTCCTTATCTTATAATTAAACAAAGCTTCTAGGAGCTTAATTTAGAGGCAATAAAGGATGGGTAATGAATGTGAGGAAGCATTTTATAATCAGTCCTAATGTGTTTTTTTCTCTACCTGTTTCTGTACATTTAAAGAGGGGTTTAGAGTAGAAGCTAGCATTTAGGTTTGTTTTAAAAGCCATTACTTTGAAAAACATTGTGTGTTCAGATTTCAAAATGTTTTTCTATATCAAAGTAAGCTCTTGTGTATTAATCTAGTGATAACAAACGGTTGTTATATTGTGAGTATGCCAAGACAGGTTTGTTTTATTCTTTATTGTTTAGTGTAATTTAGTACAGCAGCTCAGTTAAATATGATTATTATTTTTTTTAACTTTAGGGCTTTATTTGAATGAACCAAAAGTTAAGTGCTAGACTTGTGGCATATGAAAATAATAGTATAGAGTAGATTTTGTGTTGGAATACAATGATTTGTTATAGGTACAAACCTTATATATGATAGTGAGAAGTGGTTTTCATTACTCTATAATTTCAAAGCAAGTTTTTTTTATTTCCTTGTTAATAGAAACAGTATATGTATTGAAGAAGAATATTATTTACCCATTGCCCAGCAGACAATTTATTTTCAAAAAGTAAATGACTTGTCATTTGGTGGAAAGAGCCAATAATGCATCTATAATGTAATTGGATTACTTTAGTGATACACCTTTCAGTCAAAGTGTGCTTAAAATGAAAGAGATTGTGATTTCCAGATTTCAGAGAATGTGTAATTACTGCTTTGGGTGCTGAACAAAATTGACTTTTGAAGGCTTTTTCTAAATTTTAAATTTTATTCCATAATAAAATGTAGACGTAAGAGCTGCAGTTTGTAATGGCCATGGCTTTCATTTACAAAATTAGTGTTCACAAAGGAATTTGTAGAGAGGAAAATTCTTATAGTTTGCTATGCTGAGTTTATAGCCTTTGTGTTTAATTGGTGATAGGTGGTGCTATTGTTGCATAGTTGGTCTGAAGAGCCAAGCATTCCTCATATCTCTGCATCCCAGGTGCTATTAGAGGGACTTGTCATTGTGGTCAATGAATAAGTTGTAATAAGTTTTATAAGCAAAATGAATATGATGGCTCTTTAGGCATTACCATAATTTAACATTTATAAGAAACAAAAATATTTATAGGTTGCTGCACTTAAATTATGATAGAAGATAAAGATCTAAAAAAGTAGTTACTCTAAAAGGCAGCTGTACAAATTTATAGTTTAATATTGGAAGAGTTATAAGCCTTTTATTTTATAATATATGCACTGTTGATATTTTAAACTGCTTGTCTGGCAGGCCTATTTTAAAAAAAATACCATCAGCATGTTTCCTCTATTGAATGTTTATCACTATTATATCTGTTTAAAGTTCTTGAGTATTTAGAACTAGTTGTATAATGTTTGCCATTTTCCCTGTCTGATATTACATATTCCATCAAACAATTGACAGTTATGAAAATGTATTCGGGAAGAAAATGAAAATGTATTAGGAACTACATTACCACTTAAAGTAGTCTGGAAAGCCTTTCTTAACTAATTCACATTTAATCTTCTCAATATTTCAATTAGCAGCAAACTTTTTTCTTGAGCTACTAATTTTGAAAAACAGTTGTTTTTTCACACTTGACACATGTATTAGCATATCCCTTTTACCTTTGTTTTAATAGATTGCTATACTCTATATCTGAGGAATAAGTCTGATACGACTCAAAATGAATGGTCATTCATATACTGTTATGTGTATAGCAAAAACAGTAACATTTAATGAAGTTTACATATTAATTTTTTATTCATAGAATATTGAAATTAGAAGTATCTTTGTCTTTTAGCACCTTTACCTTCTCAGTTTATAAATGCAAAAGAATAGGTTTATGGGAGGTGGGGGAAATGGGGAGATGTTAGTCAAAGGATGCAAAGTTGGTAAGTCCAGAGATCGAATGTTCAGTCGTGATAACTATAGTTAACAATACTGTACTACATACTGGAAAAATGCTAAGCAGTAGATTTCAGGTGCTCTGAAATCTTTATCACACAATAAAGGTAACTATGAGGAGATGTCTGCTGCAATCATTTTACTGTGTATATGTTTAGCGAATCATCCTGTTGTACTCCTTGAATACATACAATTTTTATTAAAAATATGTTCAGGAAAGAAAAAAGAATATAAAAAATGTTTATGGAGGTCAAATGATTTACTCAAGGTGGTTAACAGCTAGTTAGTTGCAGAACTATAACTGGTAACTAGGTCATTGACATTTCACTTCAGGGTTCTTTACAATATATTTTGCTTTTCCTCTTTTACAACATATTTTTGAAATTTACTACAACATTTAAGATCTGCTTTTCAAAAAAATCATAGTTGCTTTGGAAAGCAGTCATGCAGAAACTGAGCTGATTTATAGTAGTTTATTAAAGATTAAAAATTATAGACTTCCAGACAGACCACATATTCTACCATTCATATCAAGTGTATGCTCTTACAATTTTCTAGGAATACTAATGATAACTTAAGATACGGTATATTTAATGTGTGTGATGAACCATAAATGTGTATGAGTGTGTGTGTGTATTACATATGAGACAATAAGTTATGATAACATTCAGGAGATCTCATTTTCATATATTAATGTCTGGACCTGTGTTTTCATTTACTGAAATTTTTTGTCTTCTCTTGCAGATCAGCGGGGAAGCACAGGAGCTATTCTCTGTTCGAAATGGCCCAATTCGGGCGGCTAGGATCTTGCCTGCTCCACAGTTTGGTGAGTGTAGCCCTGAAGAAGAAACAAATCATTCAGAACATTTCTCTTTTATTGGTCTTGGACTACAGACAGCAAGAATGATAACTAAAGTCTGTTTTCTCCCAAGTGTCTATACCCCTTCTCCTCTTCCCCCCCAAGATAAACTTTTAGTCCCGTCAGTTGAGATGGAAATAGGTAATCTTAACCAATTCAATATGGCCATTCACTTTCTGCTGTGTTTTTGATTTATCTTCATCCTCTTTGATCTTGATTTAGCTTCTGACTTGGCTGGCTCTTTCTTGAATGCCTCTTCTCTCCTGGTTTTCATGGCATCGCTCCTCCCAGGTCCCTTCCTTGCTGACTGTGCCGCTTTTGTTATGTTTCTGGTTTAGCTTTCTTCTCTGGGTATTCCCCAAGTCTCTGTTGTTCTTGTGTCTTTGCTCCTTTTCGCAGTTACACTGCCTGCCTTGGAGAGCTTGGTTTTTCATCATTATCTTGATTAGAGAGGAGTCTGCTCTCTGCATTTCCAGCTATGTCAGAAGTACAGTTTCTGGCTTTCGACCTTGGATCTCTGCTTTAATAACGAATACTTCTTAATGTTGTATTTAAATACCATATTTTATTTTTACAGAATTAAGTACATTTTAAAATTAAATCTGCTATTTGGATGCCTAAGTAACTCCTGACTCTTTAATGATCTGAGCTTCCTAAGGGTTGTATTTTCTCATTAACTTGCCTGTGTTCACTCAGCATTTTAGCATGTGCACTAAAAACAATCCTACTAATATTATTTGCATACTATGAAATGTTTTAAAGGATATTAAAATATTTAATTTATGTTTTTAAAAATTATCCAGAAGTTGGGAAATCTTCCTCCTAATACTTCTTTTAACAGTTAATTCTCTAAATTGGGGAGAATGATGTTTATTAAAATAACCATGTGAGTAGTAATGTTAGGATTAATGTGGTGATTAAATTTCAATTGAAATGAGAAGGTGAAGGTAGTAAGACAATAGTATCCTGAAGTCACGTGGAGAATTTTCTCCTTGTTTTTGAATTTTATGGCATATACAGATTTCAGCTCTCTTTTTCTCTGTCTCTCCTTTGTACTCTCACTCTCTTGCTCCAGTTTCTGTTGTATTTATGTTTTGGTGAAATCTTTTGACAAAGAACATTATTTATTTATTTTTTTGAATAGTCAGCTTTTTCTTTGGATGGTTAGAATCAAGAAAAACTTTATTACTGAAGGACTGTGCTAAGTCTGTTTCTTTTGTATGTAATTGACAGAGGCAAATTTTTCTTCCTTCATTTCATTTATGAAGCTCTTCTGTCTATGTCAGTTCTTCAACTTTTTCAACTTTTGCTTTGGGCAGATACTTTATGAGAGAGTATAAAGCTATAAAAGTTAGTATTACTAGTAGAATTTGAATATGTTTAATTTACTTTGATTGAAAAAAGATTCTTCCATCTACTGTAATATGCTTACTTTAAAAAATATCAGATTTAAAATATAATTTCATATACTTGGTAGCTAAATGTTCTGTTATGACTTGCAAAAATTACATGTCTCCTTTATTGTATTTGGTTAATTTTTTTAGATTTGTCTTCATTAAAGTTATAATGCAACTGATCACATAAGATTTATAATGGAAAAATGAGTACCTTTTGTCCAGTTTGCTTTATGTGTTCATTTTGATGGAATGAAGTCCTTAAGAAATTTCCTGAAAAAAGGATTTGTGTTAGATCTTTTTAAAATATGTTTTCATTGATTTTTTTTTTAGGGAGGGACGAAGTGAGAGGGAAGGAGGGAGGAAAGGATGGGGGAGAGAAAGAGAGAAAAACATCAATTGGTTGCCTCCTACATGCCTCCTACTGGGAATGTAGTCTACAAGCAGGGCATGTGCCCTGACCAGGAATTGAACCCGTGACATAGTGGTGCGTGGGCCAACACTCAATTAACTGAGCCTCACTGGCTGGTGCTGATTTGTGGTAACTCTTGTTTGTCTGTAGATGTCTTTATTCTTCCATATTCTTGGTTGATACTTGGGCTAACAATACTTGTTTTTAAATAATGTTACTTCAGAATTTTGAAGGCATTGGTCTAGTGTTATGGTTGAAGAATCTGAAGCCATGTTGATACCTTTTTCTTTGTAATTGGCTTATTTTTCTCTGTGGCATCCAGGATTCTGAAACTTTTCATTTTCAGTTTTGTTTCTTGGTTCATGTATTGTCCTGAGCTCCTTCAGTGTGGAAATGTAAAGACTATACATAATGTTGAGGAAATTTCTTAAATTGCTTTTTTGATAATTTATTTTCCTCTGTTTTCTTTTGGTTCTCTCTTTCTGGTACTTGTATTATTTGACACTTACACCCCCTATAATGATTAATTAAAAGGTAGTTTGTTTTTTGTTCTTTTGAGAGATTGTCTCAATGAGGATTACTAACACTTCTATTAAATAAATCTACTCTGCTGTCATGATTTTCTTTTCTTGATAATTCTTTTACCCTCATCTTTTCATACCCACACATCCCTCCCTCCTTCCCCCCATTTCCCTTTCCCTCTCCTTTTTTCCTTGGTATAATTTACATATAATTATTACCAAATAGAATCCAGTGATATATGAAAAGAATTACACATCAGGACCAAGTAACAGATATTCCAGGACTACAACATTGGTTAACATTTGAAAATCATTCAGTGTAATTCACCATATCAATAGAATGAAGAAGAAAACTATAAGATCATCTCAATAGAAGTGGGAAAAAACTATTGACAAACTTTAATAGCCATTTATGATAAAAAAAGAAAGCTTTCAGGTAATTAGGTATAGAAAGAAACATCATCAGTATGATAAAGATTATCCATAAAAAAATCTAAAGCCAACATCATACTCAATAGTGATATATTAAATACTTTCCTGTTAGTTTGGGATGGCTTCTATCACAACTTCTATTTACCAAAGAATGCAGGCCCTAATTATTATAATAAGGCAAGAAAAATAAATAAAAGCTGTAAATATTAGAAAGAAATGTGTGAAATTATTTATTCATATATATATATTTTAAATTTGTTTTATGTTATGGTCCTTCCTCTAATATAATGTATTTATTTGGAATCACAGCAGCAGCATATTCTATGGAGTGCCTTGCATGGTATGTGGAATATGAATGATGCCCCCAAAGTGAATTTATTCAGTATTTTACAAAAGAGAAACTAGAACTAATTTTTTTTAAATTTAAATTTAAATTTTCATTGATTTCAGAGAGGTAGGGAGAAGGAGAGAGGGATAGAAGCATCAATAATGAGAGAGAATCATTGATTGGCTGCCTCCTGCACGCCCCCTACTGGGGATTGAGCCTGCAACCCGGGCATGTACCCTTGACCGGAATCGAACCTGGGACTCTTCAGTCTGCAGGCTGACGCTTTATCTACTGAGCCAAACCGGCTAGGGCTAGAACTATACTTTTGTCTAAAAATAATTTTAAAATCATTTGTTAGTGACCACATGGGTAACACTTTTTTTTTTTTTTTTTAGAAATGCAGATTCAACCATAGTTGTTATTTTTAAGAGTCCAATGTACTGAGTATCTGAACTTTCTCCATATAAGAACAGTTTAGAATAAATTCTTATAAGCTAGGGCCTTTATTCTGAGAATAACACATAGTCTTTATCATTGGTGCCTTTACTACTTGGGATAATTTAGGTTTCTATAAAATTTGGCCAGGCGTGGTACTTAGATAAATTATGACTGGGGAACATATGTTCTGTTCATCTTGTTTGGTTTGTTTGTCTTTTTTTGTTGTTTTAGTGTCAGATTTTTATTGTCAAGATCATTTTGAAGATACACAGCTTCTTAACTATACAAAGTTGGTACAGTACTTAGCCTTCATCTATTATATCTTGCATTTTTTCTTTTCTTTCTAATTCCAGGAGTCTGCCTTCTCTGTGAATCCCCCTCTAACAGGATGTCATGGTTTATTTGTTCCCTGTCCTTGGCCATGTGGATGGGCGGAGTTTTAACATTTTACTATCCTCATCCTTTGGGGTGGGTTCCTGTTTCTCTGCTATCTTGGGAACTCCTGCTGTTTGACTGTGGTGTTTGCATGTTACTAAACTGTTAACCATGAACTCTTCAAGCAGACCAGCTGTGCTATGAGAGCTGTTTGTTATTCCTCAGCATGGTATTTTTATTCTCACTTGGCAAGACCTGTGCTTGTTGTTTCCAGTCTCTTGTGGACAGTCTCCCCAGAATGTCTGTCTTCATCATGTAACTGGGCAGCCTGCACAGATCTCCAGCTCCTGGGTCTGTGTGTAAAGAGAGGGCAGTGGGGCACATGGAGAGAGGCAAGCATCCAGACCTGACCTGTGGTCGGCAAATACCGACTTCTGCGCATGGGCCACGAAGTTTCAAGCGCACTGTACGTGCGTGCCTGCACGTGGTATTTTGTGGAAGAGCCACACTCAAGGGGCCAAAGAGCCACATGTGGCTCGCGAGCCACAGTTTGCCGACCACTGCCCTAGTTCATTGGTGAGGCTTGGAACTCAAAGAGTGTAGGTAACTGGCATAAAGACACATAGTCGATAAGTGGTGGATCTGGGATTTGAAGTTTAAAGCTTGCCTCTTAAACATTTAGGCCTCACTTGTCTCCCAGTATTTGATTTTTCCAGTATTATAGGGAAACCCTTTTTACCAAATCGAGGTGTTTCTAGGCTATGTCTCTGCAGAAATCTAACAGTTGTGTATTCGTTGAAATATGTATAAAGTAGCTCTGTTTTTCCACCTTTTCTTCTATTTTGAAGGTCTAAAATATCTTCAGTTGCTCTAGTGTTTTCATTGTACTTGGAGTCTTTGGTTGTTTAGTCTAAAGGTGAAGAGCACTAAAAATAGTCAATATGGGGACAGTATATAGGGAAGTCATTATCCTACATAACTACATTAAAAATTTTTAAGCTGTCAGGATAAGGTATGTCACAAAGACAGCTGCAGTCTATTCAAGTTACGTTCACCCTAAATTAAAT